ATTATCAGATATTTTATAGAGATTTTAACAATAAGTATACATTTTGTTAACATTCCTATGGGTTCCGTACCGACGCGGCGCTTACGCGCTTTATATTTTGCCCCTATGCAGTTAAAGCAGTACGATTGCTTTGAAAAGAAAGTTCAGATCTTCCACAATATGTCAAAATAAAAAAAAAAAATTTTTCAAAAAAAAAACAAAAAAAAAATTAAAAAAAAATTTTTTTTAAAAAAATTTTTTTTAAAAAAATTTTTTTTTTAAAAAAAAGTATTTTTTTGTCTAATTTATAGTTTCTTAAAAATCGTATTTTTTCAAAGTAAATTTTTTTTAAAAATGTCAATTGTTTTTAAAAAAATAATAATTTTTGGTACGGGAAGTTCCAGCAATTTGCCTTAAGGCACGATGCCTTAATTGCCTTAAGACAGAATTCCACTTACAGCTAGTTTAGCTCATTTTTAGTCATATTAGAGAAGTGTAGCTACCTCTTTATCTGTCTATTTTAGAAACTTTCTTTTTTTTATTTCTCCAATAAAAAGGTCAAATTTTCGGTTAAAACTTTGCACAAACCAAAAATTAGTTTCGCAAAAAAACGTAATGATAGTCAAAATAAAATTTTAGAGCTTTGAAATATTTTCAGGACCTAACGTGCTTAAGCAAAAATTAATAAACACTTACCATAGTTTGTTTTATCATACGGGTTCGGCCCGTGTTCATACCCCATTATGGATAACCTAATATCGAGCAGGAGCGACATGCAATTTCAATATATTGCAAAGTAAAAATAGTCGTCCCAGGGCATTGTATCCTCAATATATGAATAATATTAAATTAATTTTAATAATAAAATAAACTATCAAATATAGATAGATAACCGTTGGCTTTTCATCTAATCTGCGTAAAAGGAGAAGTTCGTTAAAAATAAAAAAAGAGTTTTTTTATTTTGAATATTAATTGAAGGTTATAATTTTTTAATGCTTTGTTTCTTTGCTCTTCAAAATGAATATTCATGCTTCTGAAACTCTACAGCATGATAAAATTCAGTGAATGCATGTATTGCAATTTAATTCATGCTTTTATTCTTGACCTTTCTAATTACAAATAATTATTAAAAAAATACCTAAAAGCTTTGATGAAAGAGGAATGCTTGTCAAACGTGTCACTATTGTTCGTAGAGGAAAAAACTTATAGTCATTAGAAATTGAAAATTGAAAAATTAACTGTTCAATAAATCTATGAAAATTAATAAATCAATTTGTCGAAAAAAGACAAGGAAAGTATATTAAATTTAAATTATTTGTACAAATTTTAGAAAAAGTGATAATTATCTATAGATGACTATTAAATATATTTTATAAACAGTTAAAGTTTTGTGTCGTCTGAATCTAGCTTACGACTAGAAGAAGTTGCGTGGATAAGACATCGGATGAAATATGGAAAGATTTTGCAAAAATTGAAAAATATTACTACTACATTTTAGCTTTTTGTAAACATAACCTTATACTAGAAGAACTATTACAGTTTTTTGTGACCTATCCAAAGCATCTGATCGCTTATTGCATGAAATTCTCTTAAACAAGTTCGAAAACACGGTGTTTGTGGTATAATTTTGAATTAATTTCATCTAACATAAAAACAGGACATTCAATCTCTCTATCCAAACGATGATTTCAGGCATTATTTCACACAAACTAAATATTAAGCTCGGTGTCTTTCAAGGTTCAATTCTTAGCCCGTGATTGATTTTTATCTACATAAACGATCTGACAAATTGTACACATCTTTGTAAATTCATTTAGACACTTGTGTGATTTTTTAAATATTTTAAAATATTTTTGCGACACCAATTAACCGATTTTGATTATTCAAAGATTTAGCAAACCAGCAAACAAAAATTCAGAAAACATTAGGTTCTTATCACTATGGAAATGTGCTGATTAGTTTTTGACAATGACAGGTTCAACATTTTCCAAGATATGGAGCAAAGAGTGCGAGTGAAGCAACGAGTATCCGATTTGAATAAATAAAAAAGTATTCAATTTATAATGATGAGGAGGGCACGACATTATTACATTTTAGCAAAGATAAGCCAAACCGTTTCGGAGATACATTGCTAAAATGCAACAAATGACAGTTTTTGAGAGAACGTAGCACCCGATTTGAATGATTCAAAAAACATTTTGCTTGTGTTGACAGTGTGAACTCAAAAGTAGGAAGGCAAAAAAAATGATTTCAAAATTTCAAAAAAAAAGTTGTTTTCTAACATATATTTTCTTTTTTAAAAATCGACCGAATGATTCGGATTTTAATTTTAAATCCAGCTAAAATTCTGTAGCTCACTTATATTTTGAGATAAATATTTTCAACTTTGCAATTCACTTTATATAATTCATAGAAATATGACGTAAGATCTTTAAATCTAACTCCGCTTGATTAAGTTTTGTTTATTTATTTTTCATGTAAACATACCTATATAATCGTTGTTGTACAATTTATAAGCTCTTATATTTCATAAACAAAATACTAATAATGAAAGTTACAGTATTTATAATAACATAATTGAAAACATTTAATATTATTCGAATATTCTTCCATTATGATACGGAAAGTTTCAGTAATTTGCCTTAAGGCACGTTGCCAAAAGCGCCACTATTGCTAATTAAAATTTGCATTACATAATATCAGTTTTAGGCTTAATATCGTTTTATTTTCGTATTGTAATTAATTTAATCAAGATATTTTATTCTCTCTAATGAGTAATTTCAATCTAGTATCTGAAATAAATAAAATAAACATATGAAATATTATTACATACGTACTAAACTAATAATGTAGTAAATTCGGTTAAATATTAGGTAAGAAATTAAGAATAGTTTTAGATGATAAAAAAAAACAATTTTTAAAATAAACAGTAAAAATGTTTTTTAAAAAGATAAATCGAAATTCTCATTGATTAAGTATATTGTCTCCACATTTCGGAAAGTTCATGCATCTTGCCTTAAGGTAAAAAACCACAAACTCATAGTTTTTTCATATAAAAGAGTAAAACGCCCTGCCACACTCACACACATACACACACACACACATATATATATATATATATATACATATATATATATATATATGTATATATATATAAATAAAATATAATATTATGAGTCATTATTGTATGTATTTTTAATTATTTATTTATAAATATATATATTAGTCATGATTAAACAGCAAGACGCAGAAATGAAAACAAGAAAAGTATCGTATTTAACTGAATGTTTAATCATAGGTAATATAATTATAAACGTCGGATAAATTTATATATATATATATATATATATATATATATATATATAAACAAATCTGAAACTGATTATATTCAAATTAAATTGGCACATTTCAAGATTCAAGATTTTCATATATTATTACAGCGCTTTTGCATTAATTAATTTTTTGAATTACGAAACAAAATCTGATCATTTATTTTGAAATTATATTATTATGTGGCATGCCAAGAAAACAGACTGAGATTAAAAAAAAATGACAGATTAAAAAATGTTACAGCTTTTATTTAGATTTGCATGGTACCTAGTTCCCTATCAAAAACTGTTGTACCTAGTAAAAAATACTCACTGACTGAAAGCGTGGTGAAAAATTATTCGTTTACTAAAATGTCTATTATGAAATAGATATTTGTGAAAGTAGGGTGAAAATTTAGAGTTGTATGCATTTTTTTTTTAATTATTAAAGTTCCAATTAAAAGAAAAATAGTTCCAAAAATTTTTAAAAATTAGTGGTGGACAACCCTCGATAAAATAAATAGTTTTTTGAAGTAAAGTAAAGAGTTCTATGTATTTTTTAATTTCGAATTATCGAAAATTAAAATAAAAAAAAATACTCCCAAAATTGAAAAAAATATTAGGTGTAGACAACCTTCGATCAAAGTAAATATTATTTTGATATAAAGACTTCTATGTATTTTTTAATTCCGCAATAAATATTTTAAAACAAACATAATTGACTTCAAAATTGAAAAAGTGTTAGAGTTGGGCCAAATAAAAGTAAATTGCTTTTTAAAGTTACATTTCAGCAATTTCATAAACTAAAAACAATCTTAAATTACGTCAAATAATAGATCAAATTAAAATTAAGAGAAAATTGATTCCAAAATTGAAAAAAATAGGGAAGGACAACACTTGATAAAAATGAAGTTTTTCGAAGTAAAGAGTTCTATGTTTCTTTCAATTACATTTTGTAGAATATTGATCTAAAGAAAAATGCCCCCAAAATCTAAAAAAAATATTGGGGGTTTACAACCCTTGATAAAATTAATTTGCATTTTAAGTGAAGGCCTAAGCTTTTTCTTCAAGCTCAAAAATCTGAATTAAAACTATGTCAAAAATATTCAATGATCTATTATTTCACACACACAAATCCATTTTTTCTGAGGTATGCCAAAATGTTCAAAACGTAACTTCGAAACTTTCAAAACGTAGAAAAATGCAAAAAAAATTATTTTCGATTTTCGGCCCATTATTATAACTACCCTACGGGAAGTTAATAAAAACATTGGATATTGAAAGCATAAAAATGAGAAAATAATACAAGTAAAAACTAGTGGTTGTAAATGGTTGAAAGCGTAAAAATGATTGCAAATATTTTATATATGATCATTATATATTATTCATATTTTGATAACAATATATGTCTAAAATATGCGAGCATTTATAAATATGTGTGTCATTCGTATGAATAATTTCTAGCACTTCAAATTATATCCCCTGGTTTTATACAACAATTAAAAAATTGTTTTCATTATCATCTTCCTTCAGAATTCTTCAAGAGAAATAGTACTTGTATATAAAATATATACTACTTATCAATGCTTCGGAACACCTGAATGTTTTGAGTGGGGCTCGCGAGTTACAAGCCGCAGTTCCTATATAAACGTCGGTAATGAGCTGCTCACGATCAGTAGAAGATTGGTTGTAGCGTAAATCGCACGTTTTGAAATGTCTTCACAGGGCAACGCATATACTATGATAGTGCTGGCTGCGGCTGCAGCAGCAGTTTTTGGCGCAAATTACACGGTTAAGGTTATGGAACCTTGTGTCCATGTCAGAAGCACAGATTTAAAGAACGCCTGCAAATTCGGAGGACTCCAGCTCACGTCTGTTGGCGGCACACTGTTATATGCAAGTAACTGCAATGTGCTACTTCCTAAGCAGACCTTCAGGAAAAGACCGGCGGTGCTTTTTGGATACGCAAATAGGGTGAGTATTGATATATAATATGTATTATAAACATTCGATATATATTAGTTATTCTATATAGTACTATATATATATTCTTAAATTTAGCTTCAATATTTAGAGTTTATAAAATAATAATACTTTTATAATGTTATTTAAGTAATATGTGTAATAGTCAATTTTATATTATTACTAGCTGTACCCGATCACGTGTTACTGTGTTATACATATAGAGATTTAAACAAAAATGCGATTCTGTTACATCTAGTTATCAAAATGAAAAATAACGCAAGTATTTTTTGTGATAAATTGTCGCCCTGTATCAGATCCATCATCGAGTAAAATATCGCATTTTATATGCTTATAACGAAAACAGTATTTGTTTACTTTCAGTAAATATACTGTAATAATCAAACAGCATACATCACAGCCATAGACCTTATAACTACATGGACTGCTAGTCCTCATATGTTTTCCATTGCATAAAGTGTGAAAAGATAGAAGCGACTGTAACGTCACTTTCTGAACAAGCGTTGCCGACAATCGTGGAACTCTCCCGAATGATTAAATGTCGTATGTTATATGTTTTATTTTTTATTTTTTTTTAACTCGTTTTATTTAGCAATCAGAAATACATAAAGATTCCTATGAGCTAAAATGACAATGTAAGAGCGATGCCTAAGAAGAGCTCCAATGAGATCTTCTCAGTTTAACAATTACTATAATAATATTTTATTAGACGTAATCTAAGACTAAGTCTAAAGGCCATTGTCGTTTCAATCTCCTTGTTCCATAAGGTTTAGTATTTTCAATTTCATATGTTTTATATCAATAATATAATGGCTATTGATATGACTGATAATTTTGTAAGAAATGATATTAACAGTATTTAATAACATTTATCATAATAGTATAATATTCAAAAATTATCTGTGATAGTTTATTTCAATAATATAATGGTCATTGTGTGGACTGATAATTTTGTAAGAAATGATATTGATAATAATTCTTCTGTGAAATAAATGTACATCAAATCGAATCTACCTGTTAAAATCGGTTTTTATATTATAAGGCCTATGCATATGACGTTTAATACTGTTGGGAGTGTTCCAGGAACCAGTGTTACACTACAAGAACTGATTTTTTTCTTCACAACAATTTAACAATTTCAAGTAAACGATTTAATTTTAGGTTAAGCACGTATCATATGACTTCGACATATCATGTGACTTTTAATCAATCGGGAGAGTACTACGATTGTCGGCAACACTCATTCAGCAAGTGACGACACAGTCCCTTCTATTTCTATATACTTATTTTGCCCTCGACTAGCAGTCCATGTAGAATTCAGTCTATGATTACTGCACATGACACCTATAACAAACAACCAACTATGGAGATAATTTCTGGGAGTTTTCCATTTATTGCTTTAGTATAGATTTTTTGCTATATTTTCTAGAGAAAGAAATCATCCACCTTCTTTTACCACATAAATGCACTGCCTATTTTCATTGCATTGGAGTAAACCTTGTCGACTATTTTCTGTGGCTATTACACATACCTCATCGTGATGTTCCAAGCTACTCCGTTGTAATAAGTTCAGATATATATATATATATATATATATATATATATATATATACAGTCAACCCTCCGTTAACACGGTACTTTGGAAACGCGGTTGCTATACACGGAGCTGAAAATGCAACATCCCTCTGATACCACGGATCTCCTATATAAATGTTTACGTTCAACGGTTTATTAGATTCTTGCGCGCAACCTATGAATGATTCTAGTAACTAATATTAATGTTAGTTTTGTTATCGATTTTTTTGAATTTTACTGTATTTTATATATACATGTCAGGATATGTCATAGCTGCGTTTAATATTAGTATTGAAAGTGTCGGCGATCTTCAACAGAACGTTAGTTAGTCTTTTAAAATAATTATGCTTGAATAATTTTTTGTTCGAAAACAGTTGTTTTTTTATTTTTTCCATCCTTATTCGATCATTCCATATTTTATTCTTAACTTTATTAAAACTATTCATTTAAATATAAATTATATTCTTTTATTATATCCTTATATAAACTTTTCAATTAAAGATAAATATTTTTTTAGCATATCCTCATATGAAGTCTTGAATACAATAAAAATAATTTGTAATTTTTATCATGTATTAGATGAACTCTATTTCACCAAAAACAATTCATATAACACCATAAAAATGCCGCGATTTGTACTAATTCTGAGTTTCTCTTATTGTTAGCACGGTTCCCATAGAATGTGATATTGTAAGCAAGTTTCCATCAAACGCACTACGATTTAGCCTGAATAGTATGTCAAATACGAGTTGTTTATAGCACGGAGCCCATACTACACGGTACACACTTACCGCGGCAATAGAGGGTTGACTCTGTATGTATATATATAAATATAAATTAGGCATATAAATTTATATATAAATATAAATTAGGTAAAATAAGAAAAAACATTTTTGCATGAAATTACGGCTTTAATTACTCTATTTGGAATGATCCGATTTAGGTCAGTTATGCGCCGTTTTGTTCTATAACTTGTTGCCATTTTGAAGGTATTATCATTAAGCTTCTCTCATAGAAACCCTCGTCCCCATTAGCAATAAATTGATAGATTCGATTTTAACAAGCTTCCTTATAAATAGTGATGCATAAAAAGCTCACAATCAAACTCCTAGAGCTTCTAGCGAGTCTCTATCGATGTGTGTTGTCAAGCATTGTGCCGATGGAACGAACACAATTCTTCTCTTATGGGCCAAAGCTGGCCGCATCTGGGCGATTGCTATCTCTAGCTAGACCGTTCAATTGTTGACCGTTAAGTTCCGAGTTGAGACTTTTGCCATAGGAGATCAGCTCACAGTATCAGAATTCCTTGCTAAACCATCGAATCCCAATTCTAGTTATGGTCACCAGTCCCCAATCACTTAAAATTGTGGCGATTTTCTTGCTGTTTAGTAATGATTTCCAGATGAAAGTTCGATGCTCTAGGTTTTCGTGTGGCACCCATACATCAAGCATTTTTGTATCTAGCCTCATTCAAATGCTGCCAAACAGTTTTTTTTACAGTCTTTTGATCTTGAACAATCGAAATCGACTTACACGATAATTGGGCTCCTTGATTTTGTCGATATTTTGACGAAACCAAATTGGACGTGATAGGTAATTAGATTTCTGAAAAAAAAAATTTTTGTTCTGGAAAAAAGGCTGTTGATAAAAAACATGTTCTCATATTTTGAAATATATTGGAAGTTTTGAACGTTTTTTCAAAGCCATCGTACTGCTTTAACTGCATAGAGACGAAATATCGAAGCGCGTAAACGCCGCGTCGCCATCTAATGGATAAAAATTGGTATTGAAACCGATACGAATGTAAACAAAATTTATACTTATAAAATATCTGATTATTTGATGTGCATATGTCTAATGATCATTTTTGACCACAAATGGCATTTTTTTACTTTTTTCACTAGATCTCCGTAACCGCTAAAACTGCTCTTCATGAAAATTTGATCAGTACTTCATCTTGTCCATACAAGTAAAATGTTTTTTAAGTTATTAAAATCGGACGTTCCGTTCTCTTAAAAACTGAGTTACCGTTTTTGGCACTTTTTGGCTCGTATCTACGAAACGACTAGAGCTGCCTATGTCAAGAACTAATCAGCACGTCTCCTTATCAGCAGTAATCGAATGTTTTTTGAATAATGGAAATTGGTTGAACCGTGTTCCCGAAATCATCAACAAAAATTTGTATTCGCACACACACACACATACACACGCATATACATCCATTTTTTCTAAGGTATGCCAAAATGTTCAGAAACCTCTGAAACGTAAAGATATATAAAAAAAATTATTTTCGATTTTTTTGCTATTACTATAACTTAACCTACGGGAAGTTAAAAAAAAGTTAAATAAAAGTTAAACAAAAATAACCACCCTCGACCTTTCAAATATGCGCGTAATGGTTTTACAGTTATAAAATGATTTTTGATCACTGAACAATTATTTCAACTTTGATTTTTTGATAGATCAAAACACAATGCTTGTTGAATCATATCATTTTGCAGTACAAATGCAGTTCAAAATAGTCATACACAATATTTTGCCTCAAGACAAATTATATGAACTACCCTACATGCGTAAATAACACTGCGCGATATTAAATTTTTATCCTAAGATATGATGGTTTTTAAGTAATTCGGGGACGCTGATTTTGAACTAACAATTCCAAAATATGACCATGTGCTTAATATCGTTCCTCCAAAGTCTCGATGTGTTGGTGGACACTCTCGCCCTGCTCTTCGACAATATCTCCAAGATTTTCCAAAAAACGTTCTAAATGAGTGTGAGTAATGAATTCAAATCAATTACATCAAACATATTATTTTAATTCTTGCTGTCTTCTCTTTTAAGTTTTTACATCCATTACATGGTAGACAGGAGATTTTGATGTTTTAAGTTGTTTATCGTTAACATAGATTGGGGTCGTGTAGCTGATCATAAGTAGACTTCAATACCAGTGGAGTTGTGGTTTATGATCATTTGCTTCTATTGCCTGAATTTATTCCATTGATATTTACCACCCAGAGAAAACATTTGTCGTGGTGTTTCTGAGTTTTTTTTTAAATGACTGAACGAATAATAAATGAGTTTTTACTTTTTCCTTCTGGATAATAACCTAAATATACTACGCTATTTTTTCATATAGATCGAAGAACCCATGTTTTATCTTGATTGCGCAAATCAGTTTTAAAGTGGTTGAAATACGATGTCTTTACGCAGTTCGACATAGGTTTCCGGTATTTGCCAGAAATATATTAACCACAGATGTAACAATAACAATTTGGATTATGCACATGACGTCTTAGAGTCAAATCTATACCAAAAACAGCAGAAAAAACTCCTAGTTAAACTGGGGAAATCATAGCCGAAATCGGAGTAGTTCCCTGAAACTCAAAAACTAGAGCTGTTACGAAAAATGGAAAGTAGATTTAACACAGAAGTTCGAAGTGACATTTTTGTCGCACTGTGTAATCAATAACAAAATTATCCATATATTAATTTATGAGTGATGTATAAGTATATGCAGTTGCTGTAGAGTATCATAATGTGGGATACTATTCTAAATTATTCAATTTTGTACAATTTTCTTATTACATAAAACCAATAAGCGGCTGTTACACAGGTATTTTAGAAAAACGCGGCTGATAAATCCAAATTTATTAGTTTTTATAATTTGTTACGACTTGTAGGATTCTAATATATTAGTATGATGATTTAGACCTGTAAACTCTATCGGCATGCAAAGTTTTATCGAAATCACTTAATAAGTATGTAAATTAATGTTTTTATAATTTTTTTTTAGTTATTAATTTTAATTATACCTCGCGTTTGGATATTATTTTGCATCGAAGTATGTAATAATCTGTGATTTGACAAATCTACGCATTTAAGATAATAAATATCTACGCATTTAAAAATTTGATAACATTAAAATTTTTGTTAATAATTATTAGCATATAAAAATTCCTTGATTAGTATAATGAAAACGAATTCAAAAGATTGCTCAATAACTATTCATTTCAGAGCTATGAAGAGCAAAAACAAATCGGATATGTTTAGAAATTCTTCACATATAATTACTTTACTACAATATGTATAGCAATTGTTTGAAAATAATAATTTTAAAATTATAAATAATAATGTGAATTTAATTGCAATTAAATATTTATGTTCCTACTTTCACATTTGTTTTGTATGTGCCATATAAACGTTAGCACTTCACAATGTGCAAACATAATGTTTTAATAAAAAGTATTAAATTTATTCATCATTGAATGTAAATAATGAACTAAATTAATTAGCAAGAATATTTTATCTCACAATAAGTAAAATATAATTCACAGACAAAGCTGTATACCGTAATGACTGTCGATCCCGATGCACCTTCGCTACGCCTTGGACAATTCTATCTTCACTGGCTGAGAATTAACGTTCCAGTAAGTATTTTTAACTTCCCGAAGAAGTTTATGTTTTCATCAAAAAATCGATTCGCTATTTTTTTTATTTTTTTTTTTTGACGTTTCAAGCCATTCTGAATCAAATAAGATCAAATTTGGAAAAAAGTATATGTGTGTGTGTGTGAACAGATTTTTTGCCGTAAATTGTCGTTTTTTTAAAAACGGCTAGGCCGATTTCATAAATTTGTTCAATTCAAAAATTGTCAGTTTTGTGCGACGATCGGCCAAGCCGTTTTTTTATGAATAGCAGAAAAGTGAAAAATTTTTCGTCCACGTTTTAGCCCGCAATTCTGAATCTGTTTTGAAAATTCAAAAACCGTTCGAAAGAATATTGGTTGGGAATCGTGCTGATTAGTTGTTGGTAAAGATTAGCCAGGCCGTTTTCTTGCAATAAAGTGTTATAAAATTTTTTTTCGGCGATTTTTATTATTATTTTTTTGATAGTAGATACCATAGTCTTCTAGATCATACTAAAATATTACGGCCCTACGACAACTCGTTTAGCTTTAAAATTCGTCAAAGTTTGCAAATTTTTTTTTTCGTTTATTTTTCATAGCAAGCTATACAAAGTACATTCAGCTACATTTGTTACAGTTATATATTATTTGTCTGCGTGAGAAGGATTGCTATCCTGCGATAGCGCCTTCATAGAAGTTATGTTATATTCTGTAGTAAATCATTGCAGATTTTTTTTTTGAGACGCTTTGGTGGTAAAGGCTTGAGCAGATCTGACGCTAATACGTTTGGATGACGACTTAGACGAGCTTTATATCTGGTGCAGTATAGATTAATTCTTCTATAGTGCGGATTCTGAGATCTTGATGTATCAACCAATTGGTAACGTATTTTGGAGCGTTCACGATTTCTTTCAAAATTTTATTTTGGAACCTTAGTAGAATAGTTATATTCGATTTACTAGCCGCACCCCATAGTTGTAGGCCGTAGGACCATATTGGTTTAATGCAAAAATTAATATCGTTTTTTGGCATTTGTCAAAATTAGACCTTTCATAGACGTTTGCTCAAAAACGCTTGAACCGAATTCAGAAATTTAAAAGCCATTTGGTGTATCTCGATAAGGACTATCGCTTGTCAGTTTTGTGCGACGATGTGCCGAGCCGTTTCTTTGTAATTTGGAAAAATGTGTTGAACTTTTCGTTCACATTTAAGCTCATACTACCAATTCGATTTTTAAAAATCGAAAACTGTTCGAAAGGTACCGAGCCGTTTTCTTGTAATTAACTGTTGAAAAAAAAATTTAAGCCGATTTTTATATAACTTTTTTTGGCGATATATATCATGGTCTTATAGAACTTACTGAAATATTTCGGCCTTACGACAAGCAGTTTAATTTTAAAAATTCGAAGTTTGAGAAAATGAATAGTTTTTTGACGTTTGTTAAAATTAAAATTAGACGATTTACTTGGTATAACGATAGAGTACTTAACTTGGTCTTAATAAACATAATAAATCATTAAAGTCCTGCGGAAACTGGTTCAATTATGAAAATTGTTGATATATGAAAATTTGCTTTTAGAAAACACTCCGAGTTAACGTATTCGTTCGTTTTCAAATGTGATAAAATCCATTCGGAATACTTTTAATCACTAATAAATTATTTTTTATTGATTAAGTCGATTATTTACACATATCGGGAAGTTTATTTAACTTGTCTCAAGGTAAAATACCAATACCAAGTAGTTTAATATTTGTCTAGTAGGTAAAAGAAATATATCTGCTAATTTCGGTTTGAACATTCGGAACATCTTTCTCTACTTCAATATGTTTGAAATTTCGCGATCCTGATAATATTGCGACATTAATCACGCGTTCATTAATTCAGATTAACAAATCTTATTGAATAACAAACAGTAAATGTATATAGATTTAGAATCTTATAATTAATTTTATGTTTTAATACAAAGAAACCGGTAATGATCGGGATCGCAGCGACATTTCGCATTGCGTCAAAAACTTGGGCGACGGCTTTCACTAAAAAATTATGGATTCCATGGGATTTAAACGCTCCAAGTCATCGAAAGAGCCATTGTCCTCTAACTGAAACTGTATGAAAACTAGGCTACGCAAAATTGAAACATCGCTAAAGTATTTAGAATTACTAACTATTTTTATTTTATTTCGCGTTACTTCGATGCAACAACTCTTATGTTAATGGCTGTGAATTAGTATATTGGTTGAGACCCTAACGAATTTTCAAGCAAGAATATTTGTTTAAAATTGAATTTACAGAACAGTGAAGACGCCTTTGCTCTATGTATTTTCAAGCATGGTTTTAGTGTGTTTTGATGTTAGTTGATCTATATCCCCGAAACGTTAAATAATTTTTTTTGTAATAAACAAACTTTATTGGAGGAAAAAAGAAGGATTTTAGTTCAAAATTTTATAACATTTATAGGAGTGCTATGCAAGTTGTAGTAACAATTTTTTTTAAATTAATGTATTTCGAGATCCACTGATCATATTTCTACAAAATAATGATAGGTAGTTATCGTATCTATTCCTCAACCTGAAATCAAGTAAAAATAATATCACAACTGTTGGTCATTATTTCACAATTGATCATTTTCTAAAAACGTGTGGTGTTACTACTTACCCCATATTTGGGACTAGTTATTACATCTACGGGGGCAAGTAGTAACGACAAAAATGATAAATTATTTTTTAATTATTTTTAAGAACATTTCACATATTTCTATTAATTCCAAGTAATTCTATAAATTTGCAAGTAATTCTCATAAATCAACGTAATCTAGAATTAACACAATTAAATTATATAGTGCCTCCGCGGTAACAGAAATTCTGTAACGAAAATGATTATCATAAATAAACGTAAACTAACATTAAACCAAATAAAATATAAAGTGTCTTCTGTACAATTGCCCGCATTTTACATACTATACATTTACCCCAAATCTTTTTTCTTTGAATCTCAACAACATTTTCTAAATACTAGTCAATATCATTCTTGAATGTAAACTAGCCCTAAGGTTTTGTTTTAACTAACCCCACGTGCGATTTTTTTACATCAATCAAGCAAGCTATTTAAACAATTTAGCAATCACAGAAACTGTTGCACATTATCAAACATTAATAAATCCGAAGCAAATTAAAATATATTATTTGAAATGAGTCGAGTCGCATGTCAAATGTGACGGACCTGCACAGTACTGTACATTGGCAATATTTGCAGCTATTACAATACTCATAGGACTATTATATATATTACGATTACTAAAAACAAATTAAGAAATTGTTTTATTTTTATTAATAAATATAAAATATATAATATTTTCATGTGCAAACTGATATGTGAAATTTGATGTAGCAAACGTTCCATCTCACTGAACAGGAAGCCATGCGATATTGAAGAAAAGAAAGGTTTTGTACTATGGGTTCGTCAGAAATAAAATAATAAAAACATGGAAATATAGCTACAATTACAAATATTACTATAACTTATTACAAGACAATAAAAAATAATCGCGTTAGAAAATATTCACCTTGGGCGTATACAACTTATTGGTTTATTTGTTTAAAATGTTGGTCTCAAATATTTGTGAAAGTACGTCTAACTTCACGAAATACTTTATAGTAATTTAAATGAAGGCAATTCACAATCGCCAACAATAAACAAATTATGAGTGTTCGCTTACAAATGTATTTTGTCATGCCAATATAATTTATTGAGAGTAATTATGTTCTCATTACAGGGATCCGCTTTGGCTGATGGCGAAGATATCGATGGTCTTGATATTGCACGTGAGTATTATAAATAGTCGATCGATATAAAGTTCCTTGGCACTCTTCTCATTGTAAACCTAGCGCAATTTGTTTTGAAATTAAAATGAAACTATTTGTGAATGCGCTTTAGCATTGTGTCCGAATGCTCCTATTTTTTCATTCTAAAATATTACGGCCCAATGACAAGTAGTTCAATTTTAAAGCGTCATTAAAATTTGGAATAATGGGTTGCGATATTAGGACCTACAAGCAAGTGTTGGACCACTCTAATTAATATAGTTGCACATATTACAAGTTTATTTGAAATTGAGATTCGAAATCGCATTGACTAATTTCTAATGAAAGATAAAAGCTCATTTTGTGAATAAATAGTTAAAAATTTTAGCTAAGTCACCAAATTTTAGTTGCGGTTATATGGATTTTTTATACAAATCGGAACTTTATGCAACTTGCCTCAAGGCAAAATGCCATTTACACCTAATTAACTTTTTGTAGGGTAAATTGTAGTAATCGTCCAAAAACCAAAAATAAAAGTGTTTGCATATCTTGTTTTGTCCATGTTTCGGGAGCACCGGTCTATCGATTTAAATAATACAAAGAAGTTTCCATTCCTATTGATAGAAAAATGTGCTGATTAGTTTTTGGGAAAGGTAGGCCGAGGCGTTTTGGACATATAAAAAAAAGTCCAGAAAGTGAAAACTTAGTTTTTGAGAGAACAGAGTATACGATTAATGGTTCAAAAAACATTCAACTCCTACTGATGGAAAGACGTGGTAATTGGTTTTTGGCAAAGACAGGTCCAACAGTTTTAGAGATACGCAGCTAAAAGTGTTAAAAATACCAGTTTTTGAGAGAACAAAGCATTCGATTGAAATGGGAAAACAAGCTGATTATTTTTTAGCAAAGCCAGCCGTTTCGGAAATACACAGCAAAAAGTGCAAAAAATGACAGATTTTCAGAGAACGGAATATCCGATTTGAATTTTTCAAAAAATATGTTACTTGTAATGACAAAATAAAAAAAATATCAATTTGTTACCGTCCAGAAACAGGTCCAGCGGTTTTTGGGGTGCAGTAACAAAAGTAATGGCATTTGATGGTCAAAAATGATCGTTACAAATCATTATTGTTAAATACTAATAGATTGATACACACGTGGACTATTAGAAAAGTGGATTGGTAACAGGCGAACTGGTAGACAGATAGAGGGGTAAACAGATAATCACTTTAATAGGTATTTACATAGATGTGTAGACGAGTAAACAGGTAAGCAGGCAAACAGGTAAACTGGCAAATAGGTAAATAGATAAACAGTTGAAGAGGTATATAGATAGATGGGTAGTCAGAAAAACAGGTAGGTAGGTAAATTGGTAGATAGGTAAATTTGTGGAGAAGGAAGTGGTGGAGAAGAAATTGGACCGGTAAATTGGTAGAAAGGTAAAATAGTGGACAGGTGAACTGGTGGATAGGTCTGCTTCTAAAAAAATGAGCTAGTAAATATATTAATATGTAGATAGATAGGCAGATAAACACGTAAACAGGTAGATATGTATATATGTCGACAGGAAATTATGTGAATAGGTAGAGAGGTAGGTAGATAGATATATAGATATATACCATATATATATATAGATAGATACAGGTAATCTAGTAAACTAGTTTATTGATTCATAGTCCAGTCATTATAGTAAATTCACCTCCGAATTCGAGATACCCAGCTATAAGTCTGTAAATACTCTAAAATAGCACCCTAAGAAGTTGTCTCAAAACCTACATATGGTAGGGTGTACGTACCATATGCAGGTTCTAAGACAACTTTTAGGATGCTATTTTAGGGTATTTACAGCTTTACAGCTGGGTATCTCGAATTCCGAGATTCTTGCTTAATTTAAGCTTAAATGACTGGACTATTCAACCGCTAGAAGAGTTCAATAAATAGATGGAAGACATATTTCTTTTGCACGTAACTAATATATGATGATTAGCAATTCTAGTAATAGTTTTGGATTATTGATAATTTTTCATTCGATTGATTATTTTTATTCCTCGGTTATTTAAATACGGTACGGGAAGTTCCAGCAATCTGCCTTAAGGCACAATGCTATGCATTTTGAATATATAAAATATAATTTGATAAATTTATGTATTTTTTTATGTTGCATGCAGAACTAACACAAAATATACGCAGTTTGTAGTTGTATAAATAGTTGTGGTATAAATCAACCTGGTATAAATAGCCGTCTTATAAATAAGTCATGGTATAAATAGTCTAGTCTCGGTATAAATAATCTTGTCTTGGTATAGCTAGACTTACAATTAGTAGAACCCGTCGTAGCAAATATTATGGTCTAATACGTTTTTATGCAATCGTTGTGAATAAGTACAATTTGTGGAAATCGTTATTGGTGCAAATTTTTTTTTAATTTACTGCAATCTATTATTACAAAAAATATTTTCCAGCTTATACCGGCCCAAACCCTCCTCAAAACTCCAGCGATCATCGATACATGTTCTATGTTTTTGAGCAACGTGATGGTCGACTTCAACCCAAGGACATCGACCGCAAACCCTTTGACCTTGACGAGTTTAGAGGAAATAAGAAATTATGTGGACCACAAGCTGGCATCCAATTTCGGGCCAGATACTAAACTTATGGAAGACAGATCTTGTTGTAATTTTAAGATTTAGTTTAAGTTAATATTGCTAATAAGTAGTACTATAATTTAACGCTAAAATGTAATTAGTTTTAACAACTGAAAAAAGGAGAAAATGAAAGTTTTATTAAATGGTTGACAGATACAACCATTGAGCACTTTCTCAGTCATCGAACATTTTCTCCCTGCTATATTTATTTGACCCATTTGAGACGGCGATTTTTTTCGAACGCGGTCCCCACAAGCGATTTTTTCTGTTTATATTGTTCATTTTTAATTAAAAAAACTTGTTTACTACGGAAATCACCCAATTCGTAAGCAAATTTATATAAATAAGATAATTGCACACCGTGTGTGCAATTCGCTCCTTTTAAAATTTTTATTGCAAGAAGCGGTTTGAATACCATGTGTGCAATGTAAGATAAAATAAAAATACATCATTAAAATTGATAAGCATTTATTTTAAAAATAATTCGATAATGTAAAATTGCTATGTTCCTTTCATTAATGAAAAACAGAATATAATGCAAAGTAAATTTTTAAGAAATAGTAAAAAGTAAAAAAAAAATAAAATAGTTGAATAATGAAGAAAATAATATAAACCGGAAATAAATTATTTCCTACATTGTTTGTTTAGGCGGTACATATAGAAGGCGATACTATTGCTGTTGGTGATAAATTTGCAAAATAAAATTAGATAAATAAATATGGGTTCTTATTGATATTTTCTAAAAATGTAAATTTCGAAATTCCAAACAAAATGTTTTGGTACGCCAAATTTTGTTTTTATATACATTACTATACTACTAATTTACAAAAATCTTATCTCGGCGACTATTTTACTCAGAATAACTGATAATTGCTTATTATTATTATTGCAAACACGGTCTTATAGCCTCGGAAAGCGTCTCGAATGGGTTAAGCAAGTTTTGTTCAGTGGGACAATACACCTAATTATTGTGATAAGAATAGGATTCGAACCAATTATAATAATGATATCAATAAACATAGTTTAAGCTATGTAGTATAGAATATATAGTATACAATGTTTTAATTTAGTATCTTAATTTGCTATTATAGTGATAAGGCTGTAGAAGCGGAGCCGAGCCTAAATCAGGAGTGGTTTAGATTCGGTTCTGCAAAAATTTCATCATCTCATCAGTAGTTCCAAAAATAATAAAACAATCGTAGTTATCATCCATTCCACATCATAAAAAATATTAAATTCTTGGATTTGTTTCTATTAGATTTCAAAATAAAAAAAAGAAACAAAAAATTGAGACCTTATCTCTTATTTTATATATCATCTTCGAGAAAAAAAATGTTTTCTCGACGATTTGTCCAGATTATTATTTCATTTGACACTAAAATTGAAACAAATTATGCATGCGTGCGTATGTGAACTCAAATTTTGTCTTTTATTCCAGGTTTTCCGAAATGGATGCAACTAATTCTAAAATTTTAACATTAATTTAAAGAACTCAATTACCACTTGCATTCATAAGTTTAGCATGATCGTTGGTCGAGCCGTTTTTTTGAATTAACAGATGAATGAAAAATGTTTGTTAAAGTATTCGCAAAAAAATCGAATCTATTTTAAAAAATTAAAACCCATTGGAATGAGTTGTGGTACATGCTAATTTGATTTTGGCTATTGTCAAAATCTTTATTCGATGATAAACAAATTGACATATGTTTATACTTTTTTATATTATTATTTGTTCAAGCGGAGTTTAAAGTTCCACCATCAATATCTAAAAAACTAGTAAAGTTGGAAATTTTTCAACAATGATATTTGAAAGTAGATGGCAAAAATAACCAGACAATTTCTTAAATTGGCCATTGCGACGAAATTTGCAATTACGAACAAAACAAAAGTATTTTTTTAATTTTTGAGCACGGTATTAAGTTTACGATATGTGTATAAAATTTCTAAGAATACTTCATAATTATTTTATAAGATGGATGGATGGATTATTTTTTAGTTAGATTTCTATAAACTGTAGAATAGCTTACATATGATCGGGGTAAAAAGAACCACTTAAACCTTTGGACTGGCGAGAGGTAAACAATAAGGAACAAGTAAACAAAAATATGAAATTAGTAGCAAAAAATCAATTTTACAAAGATAAATTAACAGTTATTCCAACTCTGATAATGGATTCCTTTGACAAAGTTCTATATGAAGGTTGCATCCAATGGGATCTTTATAAAAAAATGTGCCCATAAAACGTGTAATTCAAACAGACGTTGTATTCACTTTATTTTTCATTGTTGTATTTAAATATACAATAATTATGATTATAATATGTTAAACAGAAATACCTATCAAAGCAAGATTTATGATAATAGTAAGAATTGATAATTTTTTTGTTTATTGTGTTTATAAATATGTATTTAGATTATGATTTTTAACGTTATTTTTCAACTTTATAACAAAACTTCCCATCGATTAAATAATGTAGTTATTATGCTATAAAACCTCTTTAAAATTATAAATAAAATAGTGGATATTTTTGTCGCCTGGCTATGCCCTATTACCACGCCTATGGGGTAAAAAAGACAGAGTCACAACTTTTTTCAAGCATATAAGTAAACGTAGTTCTACAACGATAAATTAGCTAGGAATTTTACTGATCATAATTAGATAGTTGTTCATTTGATATTTGTTATCAGTTTTGAATTGGTGGTTAGATTTTCACAGTACAATTGTTCAAAGACAAATTGGACTTTTGTGCCCCGCCCTACCCTATACCGTAACTAATCAATTTGTTAATACGTATTTATAAAGAGTCTCTAAAACAGCTATGCAGCGCAATTAGTTTGATAAAAAGTTCAAAATTTCCAAAAAAAATCAAAATATAAACAAAAACTAATTTTAAAGAAAAAACAATCAAAATATAAACAAAAATTTAAAAACTCAAAAATCTAATTTTTTCATTGTTTTTAAAAACTTTTATAGAATTAAATTTTTTTTTTTTTTTGATATAGAAATGTTCAGCAATTTGCCTTAAGGCACGATGCCATGCACCAAAATTTTAGAATTATCTATTAAATAGTCAAGAAGCCACGTCTCAATTGAATGCGGCCTTGAATTGATTGACAGATTTCAATCACCATTTTGTTTCTATCGAGAATTCTACTCGGATACCAGGAGAACAGACGAATTCATTCGCAGTTGCCGCCAAGAAATAGTTCTACATCAGTTATGAATCATGAACGAATAAATTCGACAAAAATATATACGACTCTATATAGAAATGTAGTTATTATTATTATTAATTAAATAAGAAATAATTTGTATGTTAACATTTTTAAATATATTGTAATAAAAGGTTTTGTACTCTAAAGTGTTTCAAAAAATTTATATGTGCCCTCTACAATTTCGCACCGGGTGTATTCTGTAAGTCGGATCACAAACCATTCGCGGTTCGAAAGTTATCCCCGTTTCAACAGCTTGCGTACATGAGAGATGGAGGCAATGTATTACACATTTAGAAGCAAACATTTAAATTGTATTAATTTAATTATAATTATATTAATAATATTTTAATAATAATATTATATTGACGCTCAAATAAGCACGAATATATATTTGTATAAATGATTGTTGTATTTAAATAAACTACATTGTATTGGAAAAGACAACAATGAAGTTTTTATGGAATAAAGCTTGAACAAGTGGTGCATCAGGCCTTAAAACACATTGCTGGAACTTCCCGTACCGATAATTATAATTTTAATAATAGAAATATTTCAATTTGTTGGACAACTTTGAAACAATGAGATTTTCATAAAACTGCAATTTTTGAAAAATTATTTTTTTATATTTTGAATTTTTTCAAAGCAATCGTGCTGCGTGGCTGTTTTAGAGAAGAAATATTGAAATGCGTAAGCGCCGCGTCGCAGTCTAACGAATAAATATTGGTACGGAACTCATAGAAATGTAAAAAAAAATACTTTGTATTAAAATCTCTTTGAAAAATGTGATAATTTTATGTGCAAATATCTAATGTATATGTCCAAATGGCAGTTTTTTTATTTTTTTTACTCGAAATCACATGTTTTTCAAATCAATAAAATCGGTTGAACCGTGTTACCGAAATTGTTGACAGTTGAAAATTTGCATCCGTTTTGTATTTTTTCTAAGGTATGCCAAATTGTTCAGAAACCTTTGAAACGTAAAAATATTTAAAATTTGCATTATCGATGCTTTTACGATTACTATAACTTACCCTACGTGAAGTTAATGCATTACTATTAAATTAAATAAATAAATTATTTATTATTATTTATATTAGATTATAGAAATTATTTAATAGATAATTCATAGATTGTTCCATAAATTGATATTTTTTCCAAACAATTAATTCAATAAATAAAAAATATAATATATACATATTAATATACAATATTTAACCAATTAATATATTACCGATATAAGAAAATCTAAAATAACAAAGAACAGAATTATATATAACCAAATCTTACATCAAAATGTTACACATACATAACTTTCATAAATTTACTACATGTACAATGTCTATCATTTTTGTTTATACTTAGTTTTTAATTTGGTTATCTTAAAGTTTTAGGCATCTACATTTATCTCGAAATGCCATTTGGCGATCTACATCTACATCTACATTTATCTCGAAATGCCATTTGGCGATCAAAAACGATCATTAGACTTATGCACATATAATTATCAGATATTTTATGGAGAAAAAAAATCGAGTAATTGTATTTCATACAATTGTGGGTTTTATGAATGTTAATTTACAATTATTTATATATTTATATTATTAACAGTAATCAGAACTTAATAGTACTACAAGCTTGTTGTAATGATTTCTAAAAAAAAACTATAGTCTATCTTTTTGTGTTGTACTTATGATTAGATGACTTTAATACTTATTGGATGCAGCAATGTCGCGTGGGAGCTATTTTTAATTAAAATCATATTGCTATCTATATTTTCACGTAAAAATCGATGTAAAAAAACCCTAACTACTAATCTACGGGAAAGACCTAATTTACGCTTTATCGATATTTTTTTTTTTATTATTTTATTGCTAAAAAGTTATCCGTTTTT